CAACACTTAATTGCTACTTTTATCCCAAGTTTCACAGTATGAGCTCAAAAGTGAGTTCTAGGTGGGCTTCAGGATGTATTGTCACATTCCTGCCCACACAGTACACAAAAAGTGGGATGGACATGACAGGGAAGAATACTCAAACAATACAACTCCTGTCTTCAAGGCTGCTTGTGTTCTCCCTCCATCCGCTCCTCACTGGGACCTTGGGAGCTCAGTCCAGTGCTCCAGTGTGGGTCTCTGTCTCTATCTCCATCCATCACATATACAAAACCAGAGGCCAAGAGAATTACACAGATAGAGGAGAGGGGGCAGTGACACTAAAGGAAAATCTCCCAGGACTTTTGCTTGTCACTAACAGACACATGCAGACAGAATCTGTACAAGACTTTTGTGCTTGTCTGCCCCACTGCCATGTTCTGGTGTTCTTAAGATTCCAAACACTCATTTCTGCTCCTCATTCTGTGCCACTTACTCTCCCCCACATCACTCTTCCACCACACCCTTCTCTCCAAGATCACTGCCATAACTGCCTAACTGAAAATACAATCAAGGCAACCCAATTCTACAATTTTCCACAAGCATTCTTCTCCCTAAATTACATTTTACAAAAGGCAAATGAAAAATGAGTCAATTATCAAACACAAATAAAAATAAAAAGAAACCTAGAAAGGAAAAGCTACCCACAGTCCTAACGTGCCCACAGACATGGGATTGAAACTAACATTCAGCCTGCTAAGCATCTATCAGTGCAAAAATGCAACAGTAGAATGAATCACCGGGTTCTGTTGCCTCTTCCCTTGACAGCTGGCACTCTCCAAGTTGCCTGATGAAAGGTTAACCTTCATTGTCAACCTGACTGGATTTAGAACTGCCCAGGAGACAACTCTCTGGGAAAGTATGTAAAGAGGCTGTAGACAGAGGGGAAGACCCACCTCAATGTGAACTGGGAGCCCAGACTGTACAGGCAAAAGGAGCAGCAAAGTCTGACAAGCATCGGCATTTGCCTCTGCTTCCTGAGTGTAGAGGCAACGTCACCTGTCTCCTCTTTCACACTGCCACAACTTCCCTCCATGATAAACAAAAGTAACGAACCCAGTTGCTAACCCACCTTTTAGGTCCATTTAATGAACATTTAGTCATTTGATCTCGTTACCACTGACAAAAGCTTTGTAAACAGCCCCACTATTTCTGTAGGAGTCGAGTACTATTGTATTAATTAGCATGTAAGGTTTGTGGCCTAATTACAATCTACTCTGCAACAGCCCATTAAGCTCCTATCTACTAGCTGTTACCACTCTCCTGACTCAGTTTGTAAACGCAGTCACAACAGGCTTGCATTTTTTGTTTTTTGTTTTTTTTTTTAAGTAAGTTACCCTCAGACTCCCTCTTTGGTGGAGGGGGCTTCTCACTAAGACCTATACACAGAGCGGAGCTCAAGTACCTGGGACTCCAGTCCTAGCACAAGCTACAGTTGCCAAGTAAAGGATCTGAGCAGGTAATTAGCCCATGTGCCACAGTTCCTTCACCTGTTAAAGATAGCTCATAATACAAAACACCAGGAAACTGGTACAGAGCTCCTAGGGAAGCACTGGTGGGCAAGCCTCCAACAGGCACTCATCACTGGCTGTTGTGACACAGAAGATCCACAGCACATTGACCACAGTGTGTGCATATCCTCAGACATCACTATCTTGCTATGTTCCTTCCTTCAAACCCTCAAAGGCTCTCCCTGCTGCCAAGTGGTCACTATTTAGCTGGCCATGGAAACTGGGGTGCCTGCGACATCAGCTGTTCTGTGTTCTAGCCATACTGAGATTGCCCCTACCCTTCCTCTGCAAAGAAGAGGACAGTCAGTAAGCTGTGCCTACCCCTCACTATTCACCTTCTGTTATCCCCAACCATTCAGTCCCTAACAGGCCTGGTGACACTCTGCTGGTTCTGTAAGTAGTGCTGGCACAACTTGCCAAAAGTCTAGTATCTAATCATCCTCTGTAAGGACCAAATCTTCTGCTTCGAATCTAAGTCTGCCACAAGACCTAACATGATCCTGAGCAGGCAACAGAAGCCTGGCTGAAATGCAGGTGTCTGCTGAGACGGTTCAGCAGGTTAAGGTGCTTGTTGTACAAGCCTAGAAATCAGAGTTTAATCTCTGTAACTCATGTAACAATGGAAGAAGACCACCAACTCTACAAAGTTGTTCAACCTCACCACACATGCTATGGCATGTGCACTCCCTGCCACAATTTAAAAAACAAACCCAAAAAACTTTCAGTAAATGCAAAGATGGTATTTGGACGATAAATATATAAACTGGAACTTACAAGCCAGGCCACCTGGAAGTTGGACACAGTGGTGCCCGTGAGCAAATCTCCAGGCCGTGGGGCTGTGACTGTGGTAAGCTGAGGACTCTGTTGCTGCTGTGGGGGCTGTGGTGTCTGCACTTGCACTTGTGCCGGCTGCTGTGGGGGACCTTGCTTGGCCTGCGGTGGTGGGGGCTGTGGTGGCAGCTGCATCTTCTGTTTCTGCATCTTGATGATATGTTCCTGAAACCCAAATAAGGTATGTTCTCCGCTTGCACCAACCATAAGCCCCCCTTATCGTTACATGTACAGAATGTAAACCATCCCCCAAAACAACTGTGTACTGAATGAAAATGAGAACCTCACCGGGCGGTGGTGGTGCACACCTTTAATCCCAGCACTCGGGAGGCAGTTTGAAGCCAGCCTGGTCTACAAAAGCTAGTTCCAGGACAGGCTCCAAAAGCTACAGAGAAACCCTGTCTCAAAAAAACAAACAAAAAAAGAAAAAAAAATCAGCACTTCACAGAAGTGGGGACAGCAACTCTGACAGATCACTAAGGTCACAGCAAGGTTTCCAAGTTCTTATTTCTCATGAGTCAGTTTAAATAAAGAATAATGACTTTGTAACCACACTCCATCAATAGTAATAACTTGGCAATAAACCTTATGAAGATAACAAGATAATGAGCTGGGCATGATTACTCAAGTTTACAATTAATAGCACAATGGAAGTAAAGAGGGAAGGACCAGGTCTTCAAGGCCAACATCAGTTATGTGATATTACCTGACTCAAAAACAGAAGTTATCAAGACACTAGTTCAAAAAACAAAAACAAAAAAGACATCCCACCCCCTTCCCACAAATGTATGAGCTGTTCATAACTATCAGATCTCTCTGGATATATCAGAAATTACAATGGATTTGAAACTGAATTAGGAGAATGTGGGTTAAAAAAACAAACAAACAAAAACAAAGGAACAAGAGGGTGAGCAGGACTCCTGCAGCTGGGCTGGGTGAGAAATGCTGACTGGAGCAATCTCAATGCGATCAGACAATTTTCCCCTGCTGGCCTTAAAGTAGTGAGAACAATTACTCTGGTTTACTGGAAGAAAAGGTGCTGTATAATTCAGCAGCCACATCCTTGGGGGGCTTTGGAGCCCTAAAACATAATCTCTGAATGAGGAACTGAATGTCATAATTTGTAGCATTTCAAATGATTTAAGGTATGTGTAGTAGCCACAGACAGCTAGGTAGTTTTCATCTGAGGTATCTTACCACCACCTCTCAAAGAGAACGAAACACACTCTGGAGGTCCCAATAGAATACTGACAAAAGACACACGGGTCCACTGACTCATCTCTGTGTCCTTCCCAAGCTTCACAGAGGTGGCCTCATGTCAGCTTTAGTGAGTCAAGCTTCTGATCAGCAGCTCACAATGGCAGACCCAGCAATCAGTCTACTCACATTGCATCTGTTTTTCTGGTTCCTTTTAATGCTGCATTTGTTGCAAGGACGTAACAATTCCATTCTAAAGTAAACACACTAGCACCAAAGACAGCAAGACAACGGACTGGCAAAACGGGAAACATCAATTTTCAAACAAGCAGCAAAGGAAAGCATACTTTGACCTAGCTACTCCAGAAGAGGAGCACTGAGGGATCATCTTCACACTACCCTCCCAGAAAGGTGCAGACAAGCTTTTTAGTTCTCTGGAAAATGAGCTGCAGTAATACAATGCTTGGAGATGTACCTGCTGGCAGGAAGCTAAGGTTTCCTAATGCTTCTTAGAAGAATGAGTCATGCTTACTAGATGAAAAATTGTGTTAAATACAAAAAAGCAGGCTCTCTACCTAAAGACAATGATAGATTTTTGTAAAACAGGCTCTGAACTACAGACAAGTCAGATATGCCTGTGATGTTATGGTGAAGGATATGCTCACCGATGCCAGCTTGCCCATAGCTTTGATCTGTGCAGGAGACTGGGCCTGGCCCTGGAGCTGTGAAACTTGAACCTGGGAGGTCTGCTGCTGCTGTTGTTGTTGTTGCTGCTGCTGCTGCTGTTGCTGCCTAAGAAGCTGGAAGTGGGCAGCAGGAGTGATGGTTTTTCCAGGTAGCTGAACTCCTGTGGCTATAAAGAGGTTGACTTGTTAGACCATGGCATCCTCAGCAGTCCTGGATAATACCTGCAAGCTGAAGCTTTAATAGCAGATACTAGCTCAGGGAAACACCAAGCCTCTCACCTTGGGACACTTGGGTCACTGAAGACCGGGTTGGGGTCTGCACTGGAGTCAGGTTGGCAGTGGCCACAGCTGAGGCTGTCACGGAAGTGACTGCCCAGTGACTGCCCGAACACCTTGAGTTGTTGTTGTTGTTCTTTTGGTTCCTGCCCTAGCCACGCCCACTCCCATAACCTCTGACCCGCCCATCGCCATCTTGGGACCTCTCTCTGCTTCCTCGGCATGTGCACGCATTTTCTCTGTCTCTCTCTTCTTTTATCTCTCCTCTCTCCTTTTATCTCTTTTCTCTGTCTTTCTTTCTCCCTCTTCCTTAATAAATACTTATGGCTATTTCCTGCGTTTACGTGTCTGTTACCTGCCGCCACCATGGGCCAAGGAAGCGTGCCCTCCTGTAGTGGCTTTCTCATGGCGGGCTCCGCCAACCCACCGCGGTAATCGTTTTTTAAGAATAACAATAACAGTTGTCATGGACACCAGATCAGTGGTGGCAGTAGCTGGGGAACCAACTGCTCGTTGCTGGGTATGGACCACTTGAGCAGAAGCAGAACCTCCGGATGTCTAGAAAGGTAATACAGGAATGTTATCATAGGACTTGGGGTAGCTGCCAAGCCAAGGAAGTGTGAATTCAGCTAGGTATGGTGATACATTCCTTTAATCCTGGCACTCGGAAGGCAGGGGAGGGAGGGAAGAAAAAAGAAAAGAAAAAAAAAAAGAAAAGAAAAGAGACAAGAGCAAAATCATACAAGTTTAACGGCTTTATATGGCTCCTCAACTGTTCTGGCACTATCTGGTGAGGCCAGTCCATTCCAATACCTCCTAGCTTCCCTTGGCATGTTCAACAAACCCACTGGTTACAGACAAGTATGTATATCTATGTAGTTCTGTACCCTCTCCAACTCCATCCATTTGTGTGTCTACCTACAGTTTATCAGAGAAACCACATCTTCATAGAAAAGATATTCTCTAAACTCCAGCATAAGAGCTTTGAAATATCACTTCTTATACAGGAGACAAGCTGCCTCTGGGTATCAGAATATGAATTCTAATACAATGTGTTTTATTCTGACTATGAGCTATGAAAGGAAAGCAGGGGGCTGACATTAGAAACCTGATCGCCGGGCAGTGTTGGCCCACACCTTTAATCCAGCACTTGGGAGGCAGAGGCAGGCAGAGCTCTGTGAGTTCAAGGCCAGCCTGGTCTACAAGAGCTAGTTCCAGGACAGGCTCCAAACCCAAAGAGAAACCTTGTCTCGAAAAACCACACACACACACACACACACAC